AAATATGAATTGGTGTGGGGAGTTGAAAGTGACGGGCATTTTTCAGTGAAATCAACTAATAATCTATTTATTCATTATAGATAGGGCATTTTTCAGTGAAATCAACTAATAATCTATTTATTCATTATAGATGCTCTGCATACGATATGGTCTTGTCTAATCCCACAAAAGGTGAAAGTATTTCTTTGGGTGTCGTTTCAAGGAAAGACGACTTTGATTGTCGACAACCTTATGAAAAGACAGAGAACTTTCACTAATATATGTTTGTTATGTAAGGAGTACGATGAGAATGGGAATTATTTTTTTCTCCATTGTCCTTTTTACCTATGATATTTGGTGCTAGTTTTTTTAAAAACTGAGCATTTTTGGATCTTTGCCTCAAAGTCATACTCAAATTATTGAGCATTTATCTAGGGGAAAAGTTTATATAGAGCCGAGGCTCTAAACAATCAAATTCAAGCCTCCATCAAAAATTTCACTAGAAGTGATTGTTTTGATGCCAAAAAATCCTCAAATTCATCATCTCTACATCAAGATGTATGGACATGAGAAAAAAATGGATTACAAGTTTCGAAAATGGTGTATTTTGTAAGGCACTTTTGGACCGTAAATTTTCAAGATTTTCAAGTTTTCATAGATCTCTCGATCTACACTGTTTTTAAGCTTTAAACTTTATAAATAACGATGCAAATATATTTTAAGGCTATCAAACAGATTTCCAGCATAAAAACCATACTTCTCAATCCTATTTGAAGGTATGCTCCATACAATTTGATTGTTTAGAGCCTAGGCACTATACAAGCCACACCCTTTACCTATTGATGGGTTTCCAAAGGTGGGGAATTTAAGTTTTCAGATTGATAGAGCAGCGGTTTTATAGTTGGTGTGGTTAGAAATGCAAAGGTGCGCTTTTTAAGGGGTGATAATGGAGTTAGAAATAGTACAAAAATGATACAACACAGCTTAAGGAGCTGGTTTTCGATTAAGAACGAAGGTTTTGGTGTGTCAAAAGTGGGCATGGAAGTGAATGTGATTAATCTAATGATGCAGAATAATGTAGAGACGAGCGTAAAAGGGCATTGAAAAGCCCCAGTTATGGGTAGCAACAGGTTGAATTGTGATGGCAGTTCATAGGGTAATCCATGACCAGCTAGAGTGGGTGGGCAATGTAAGGGATTATTGCACTAGCATTTATTTTCTCTTTTGAAGGTGAAAAAAACAACAAATGAAGCAGAATCGCTAGTTGTATTACAAGGGCTCCAAATCACTAAGGAGCAGGATAACGAGCTTGTTTGTGCCATCGAGGGGATTTAAAAACCGGTATAATCTTATTTCCAGGCCACCGCGGAGATTAAGAGCCAAGTGGATGGAAATTATGGAGATTTTGAATACTTTGAATGTTACATTATAAAGAGTGCTATCAAGCGGATGATTCTTTGGCCAAAAGGCCTGTTTCTTTGTTGTCTCAAATTGTTTCGGATGTTCTAATTGCTTGAGCTCATTGCAAGTTTTTCGTAATCAATAAAGTTATGGAATATTGTCAAGAAAACAATAAAAAAAACATTCCAACAGTCCATGTATCTTATTTCGAAAAATTTCCGCAGATAAATTATATGGGGCATTCCATGAGTGACTACAAAGATGACAATTAATCGTGTTGCTTGTATAGTTTAAAAAGCGCTGCAGCACCACTCCCCAAATTGTATAATGCATTTGCAAGATGCACTTTCCCAATTGAAAATTAACGGCCCCAATAATTGAAAATTAACGGCCCCAATAATGTATTACAAGATACACTATTTTACAAACTTGAAACAAAACAGAACAAAAAAAAAATACATGCCCACACATCACACATCACAAGGTTGAGATATGACGGTCTTTCAACATCAGAACAACCTCTTCTAGTAAATTTTTGAAGTATGCGTTAAGTCAAATGATTAGAGTCTCGACCTTACATAGACTTTTTTCACGAATAAAAGGAAACTATCTTAATTATCACATTCTTGTATGCAATACACCAAAAACCACTTCTCTGAAAACGTCATTCGAGCCCCTTTTCGGTACTATTCATACTTGATTATCAAAAATACCTGACATAGTGCTATTAGCACCATGGTACTTTGCATTTTAAACCAATGTTGTCATATTCTTTTCAAAGTTTTCATCGGTTAGGTGAAAAAAATAACTCAATAAACCAGACTACAGACATTTTTAAAAATTTAATATAAATAAGTTAGATATTTATATATAAAATGTATAAAAATAATGACAAAATTGAAATAAAAATAAAAATAAAAACTTAAAAATACATTTATGGTATTACTTTTCAGACAGCCCAAAGCTTTGGCCAAAACAGACCGGCGGCAAGCCGAAGGGATAGCACCATGCTTTTCTTCGCTTCAATTTAGGCTTAAAAAATGGCACCGAAGCTAAGCAAATTTCATAACATTGTTTTAAACTATTTGTGATGGTTTTCAGCTTATATAGCTTTAGCGTTGTCACAGTTCCATTAAGGGTTTTCAAATTATGCAGCAGCATAGCAGAAGGGACCGTAAAAGTCTCAATGTTTAAGTAATGTTTTCATTATGGGAACCAACTATCTCAGTGGTCTTACAACTACGACGAGCCATTTAAACCATCGTATTGTAAGGGTTAAAGTCATCAACCATTATAAGAAGACCGGGATGGTGTCTTTTATCTGCTGCCAATCAATAGAGCCTTAAATAATCAACCAACATGATCGTAAGAGGTCAGGGATGGTGTCTTTATCATGTAAACCGTCTCCGTAATGTGAGGGCTGCAATGGTTCACCCACCCATCTATCCCTAAATATGGGTGGAGACAAAGCTATATGGACTATTGTCAAGAAAAGGGGGAGACAGATGAATTAGAATTACGCTTTTCGAAAACTTGATCGCTTGTTTGTTTACGCAACAGTAGGAAGCGGCGCTACAGAGTCTTCGGGTTATTTTGCAGAAGTTCATGGGTGCCTTGTAATATAGAAGACGATTCGCTAATAAGGCTTAAGGTTTCCAAATCACCATGGATGCCGCGAGAGAAAAGAATGGAGGTTATAGACTTCACTTTTAAGTCGAAAATTTCTTTCGAACATGTTTACTAAAGAGCAAATAAAGTAGCAAATGGTTTTACAAAAAGAGGAGCAAGTTTGAGAGATTTGGCTAATAACTACTCCACTAAAATAAAATAAAAAAACATACTTGCCTATTTTACTAATGGCTTTAGGCCAATCATACACATCTAGTACTTTAGGCTTTGGATCACGATCTTAATATAAAATTCATTATATAAACACATTTTTTACTAAAGCAAATTATCACAAGTATTCCGTTATTTCTGAACTTCAGAAAATACTTTATTTCAATCAAGACCACATTCGAACCGCCTAAAATCCCTACTCACATATCAAATATTTTGCCTAACAATACCAACATGGTCGTATAGCCTCTACAATCTCTCATACAGCAGATACTAAGCCATATAAAAGGAAAATTTGTTTAATGCAGGATGGACTACATCTCAAATTTGTTTAATGCAGGATGGACTACATCTCTACAATATGCAACCAAGAAGTATAGAGCAGCCTTGAAGATAGATAAAAATAGTTAATCCACCTAGAAACAATTGTAACTTACATTCCAAATGTTTTCATTATATAATTACTATTTCTAGATTTAAAAAAAAATACATGTCAAAGATAAACATATTGCGCATCCTGCATATCGACAATATGCAGACTAACCACATAGAAACCAATTCGACAATATGCAGACTAACCACAAGGAAAACATGTCCTATCTAAAAAAAAGTTATATTTTAATAGAACTATAAGCATATAGAAATCCCAAAAATTGACATCTAGATAAAAGGTTATAAGATCCACTATATTAAGGAGTCATTTCCTTTTATTTTTCATAGTCATGTACCTTAATATCAAGATGATCGATCAGATTGTTTTCCAACACAAACAACATTTTCCAATAGATTTCGGAGGAAGATCCATAGTTCAACATTTTAAGATGCAACCTTTTATAAACTTTTCCCTTCATACAAGGGGCAAACATCCACTTAGAAACGAACGCTGAAAAAAAATTCAAAATAGATGATATTATATCCATAGAGTACTAAAAAAAACATCGAAAATAAAAGACAATATTAGGCAATAACACCAAAAAATTAACTTAATAAAAAATATTGATATAAACAACCAATTTTTGAATAAAATTATTATCAACGCACAGTATAATATTTCTTTTCCAAATATTTTCTTTTACAACCATTATAAACTATGAAAATTATTTGAAAGAACTTCTGATTTACAATAAAATTTCGCCATCCAAAACATTAATAGAAACATTTTCGATAAAAACAAAGAATCCCATGACCTTTTTCATACAGCATCTAAGCCCACACATTTGGGCCTACCTTGGCGGGCACCTTAGGTACCTAAGCAGGCAACGACATGCACCTACCTAGTTCACACCTAGGGAGTTTTGAGAAAATAGCAACAGCGTCGGGGCAAGAAGAAAAGGAATATTTCGTTACTGCTATGCCCACCATTCAAGACCATTTTGGCCCGTAGGCAAACAACCAGGCCGCAAGACCGCCAATTTTCGTATCGAAATTTGTTTCACTTCGGAGAGTGAAATTTAACCACTCCGATGCTTTTACCTTACACGTTTCAAATAAAAATTTTGGACTTAAATTTAACCTACACCGCTTCGCCCATGGATCGATTTACCATTAAAAGGACCTGAGCATTTTTGAAGAAATAGATCAAAGAGACAAGTCTCTCATAAATTCCTCTTAAACTCACCAAAAAATCCCGACTCATTATCGCCACCAAACGGAAATCAAATTCCATACATTCCCAAAACAGAAACAATAGCACAAACCAGAAAACAAATCATGGGGAAAATAAAATTTAACCTCTTAAATATAACCCATTAACATAATGCAACAACCAAAAGAAACCTTACTGGGGAAGCGGCGAGTTTTATCTTTCGATAGGTAAATAGAATTCATGATAGAAACCACTTCGCTAAACAAAAGGGATGGAACACGATGTTCAAAAGTTCCTGCAATTTGATTTAGAATCTAACTGTTGTGACAGGATAAATGCAAAATATGGTAAGTAAGCACAGAAATATAAAGGCCAAGTTTAAGGGAGAGATGCAGCAGTCCGATTGCAAAGTGAGAGAGGAAGCGGCTGTACAGCAAAAGCCGCAAACGTTGTGCAAATCGCCCCCACTACATTAGGCAAAAAAGAAGCAGAAATGGCCTAATCACAAGCTTCAAATCAGTGAGCTACTCATCATCATCCTCCTGCCAAAGTAATCACCTTACTGGCATGAATAAGAATCTCATATTAAAACATACATGTATACGAATTTCAGAGAACAAACAACAAATGCAGGTACCAATATTTTTTGTTAGGACCCAGTGTCTATGCCGCCAAGTCAGCATTTGTAGAAATGCTGGCTTTTGAAAAGATGGATTTTAATACCTAATTTTTAAGGACAAATAATCTCTAATAATTTGATCATGAATATGAACAAATAAATAAAATTGAAACGCTAGAAATAATAATACTAGTAAACAAAACATTTGGACCATTGGTTTCCAATGTTTTTCTATGGAACACCTACTTGCATCAGCTTTTAGGATGGATGGTTTACATTTGTCTGGACCGCATATGTAGGAAATGTGGTCCAGGACACATGAAACAATTTTCCTTATTGTAATAGACCGCATCTTCAAAAGGATAGAGAGACCAGGCACTTTTTAAAAAAAGGGGTAGGGCAACAGAGAATATGCATTTGAAGGTAGGGCAGAAAAAGAGAGATTTACCTCGCCACTCTCATCGTCGTCTTCCTCATCATTGACCTCGGATTTAGACCTGTCAGATTCCTCCTCTTCCTCTTCTTCTTTGGGCTCCTCCTTCTTTCAAGTCATAGAATAAAAATAAAAATAACAATACACATTCAAGAATTTCATAGATTGGATGGACATCAGAAATAAACACTACTACAATAAGTGAACATACTATTAAGAGTGAACAGAAAGAAACATCATCTGAGAAAAACACATGAATAAGTGGGAAATAGAAAAACAGGTGCATCAAGTGTTTCGATAAAGTACCTGTTTCTTGTTGTAGGCAGCAAGGTTCTTCTCGTACTCGGTCTTTCTCTTACCAGCCTTTGCCACGTAAGGGGCTTTCTCCTGAATGACAGAAAATATGAATCCACTGCCACAAGTAAAAATATATATGGAGAGAATTATTGCAGTGGGCAGGAAGAGAATAGTGAAGATCACACAGGAGGAGAAAAATGGACTAGTGCGTATAAAACTCGCACAATGAGAGGAGAGGAAAGGAGACAGAGAGAAGGAGACAGAGAGAGAGAGAGAGAGAGAAAGAGAGATATTCACTCTGCAAGAACCGAAGGTAAAGGCCTATGAGAGAGAAAATCACACTTACATAACCAAAGGAAAGGAAGATGAGAGCCAGTAAGTATATAGATGGATGAGAAAGATAGAGAGAGAGAGAGAGGCACGTACAGCTTCAGACAAAGACTTCCACTTGTCACCTCCAGCTTTGCCAACCTGAAAATAAAGAGATTGATCTTCCCATTAACAGCGCAAATAAATAGAAGATAGAGAATTAACCAATCAACGTTAGAACAAAATAAGGAAAAAAAAAGTCAACTTGAACAACTTACGGCAGCTACAGATTTGTTGTTGGGATGCTTTTCCTTGAAGGTCTTCCTGAACTCCTCCCTTTATACCAAACAGTCATGAAAAATAAGAAAACGAACTAGAAAATATAATTATTTAGCAGAGATACGATTGAGGAAGAGTTGGAAAAAAATTTGAGATAATGAGAGGTGAGGACGACAATAACAGAGAGAGAGAGCGAGAAGGAGAAAGATCACAGAGGAAGAGAAAACAATGATAGAACTTCATAGAGAGAGAGAGAGAGACAGAAAAATAGAGGAAAGAGCAAGGGATGGTAGAAGAGAGAGATTCCAGATCTAGAAAAAGTTAGGAGCTTTATTACATGAAAACGAAGAAAGCACTTGCAGGCCTCTTTGGCTTGTTAGGGTCCTTTTCTGGCTTCCCCTTCTTAGCAGGCTTGCTAGCACGTTCAGTTGCAGGCTTTCTCTTTCCTGCGACTCTGAAAACACCAGAAACACCGATATTGACCATTAATCCATGCGCATAAAGCGGATCATCATAAAAGGGGAAAAGAGGAATAAGTAAAAAAAGGAGGTGAAGGTAAGATTGAAATGAAAGAAACTGGAGAACATAACAACGAAGAATATGAGAAGATGCTGAATCCGGCTATATGAAAGAAAGCAGTAGGAATATGTCAATCGAAATGAGAGAAACCACCATAGCTGAGAACTAAAAGGTGAAAATGGAGAAAACCGATGATATTTTGTACAGTAAAAAGGAAACCCTAGACTATTAAACTGCCAAAAATCAACAAAAATGAAGATCACGGAACAAAGAGCTCCATGGAAACACTGAAATCGAAAAAGAAACAGTTTCTCACTTGTCATCAGATTTCCTTGAGCTTTTGACCACCTCTGCCTTTGATCTGCCCCCTTTCATGGCGGAAACCCCCTAATCGGCCGAAATATGGAAACAGCAGCAAGATCGGCCGGAAACCGATAACGAAAACCCTAGCAAAAGGGTCTAGCCGCCTTATAGAACAGTTAAGCGATTGAGAGAAATAGAGGGCATGAGAGGAAGTGGGGAGCGAGAAGGGGAATGCGTAGAGATAAGAAGGGGCTTGGAATTGGGGGAATGAAAGTTGAAATGAAGCCGGAATTGAAATTCTAGGATTTGGGCGGGATTTGAAAAAGTGTCTGCCACGTCATCGATCCGTGTGAGGGAGTGGGATTTGCTCTCACTCCCTTTCTTCTTCTTTCCGCCTCTCGCACTCCTCTTTGTGCTTTCTCTTGTGTTTCTTCTTGAGGTATTTGGCAAACGGCATTACGGTCTTGTGTGATCATATGAGCATGTGAGAATTATGGTATTGAGTATCATCATCGTCCAAATGATATTCGGAAGTTAGTAACGACCTTAAGGCTAGGTGGTCACGGCGGTAGGATGTTATTCATTTTCTATAAATAGGGGTGCGGAACAATAACTAAAAAAAAAGGAAAGGTTTTTAATGCTTCTCTTACAACATAGAAGTTTTATCTTCTCCTTACCATCCAGTAGTCCAATTTTGATCGAGAGAAGCACTCGTCGTTTGATCTTAGATCCGATATCTCAAAGTATTTTTTTTTTTTTTTATTACAAGATGTATGAATATGAATTTTGGTACGTGTCATCTTTTCATTAGGGCACATCTATAAAAAATATTAAAAATAATTTTTTGATAAAATATAATGACCAAAATACCTCTTGAAAATTTCATAAGAAGTTTGGTCATTTTATTTTATTGAAAATACCGTTTTCATATATTTTTTGCTAGTGCGAGTTTAATAGGGGAATGGACGTCCAAAATTTGGTGTCAAAATAATATATAGAAACAAATTAAAAATAAAATAGTGTATTGTGATTGGGGCAATCTTAGCCATCCATTCAAAATGGACGATTGGATAAATGAGAGGATATAACTTCTATGTTGTAGGGGAAGCATAAAAAGCTTGTTTTAAAAAAAATAAAGAAAATACAAGCTTTCTATGTTTTTTTTACAACATAAAACTTATATACTTCCCCTTATCCAACCGTTCATTCTGAATGGAGGGTTAAGATTGCCTCAATTACAATGTCACTTTTCTACACTATTTTATTTTTAATTTTTTTTTTATAAATTATTTTGAGATCAATTTTTGTACGTCAAATCTTTTATTAAACTCTCACTTGCGAAAAATATAAAAAGTACTTTTCCAATAAAATAAAATGACAAAAATACCCCTAAAATTTAAATTAATTATATTTTATCAATAAATTATTTTTAATATTTTTTATAGGTGCCCCCCAATGAGAAGATGACACGTACTAAATTTCATATTCATACAATTTGTGTACAAAAAAAAGAAAAATAAAATACTTTGATACATCGGATCTAAGATCAAATGATGAGTGGCTCTCTTGATCAAAATTTGATGGCTGGGTAGTAGGGGAAGCTTAGATCTTCTATGATCTAGGAAAAGTATAGAAACCTTACCAAAAAAACTAGAAGTTAGATTGTGAGATGCCGGACCTATCACATGGTTCGAAAGTGAATCCTAATATGTTGATGTATAGATTGAACGCTTAAGTGGTTAATAGAAAACTTGTAACGACATGAGAATAATGTCATTTGTGCTCAAGTGGTTAGTAGGAAACTTGTAACCATATTTGAATAATATTGTTTGTTTAGAACTAGCAATCACTAAAACCGGGGCATGTCAAACCGTTTTAAATGGGCCCTGGCTACGTGGCTCGATGTGGCCCTAGCTTGGTTAGGCTGATCAGTCATGACCCTTGGCCATGCCACTAGTTTTCAAAGGCCAAGTCGTCTCGCCTATTGCCAGCTCTATTTTTGTCTAGGATTTGCCAATAATAAGGCAAAATCAGTCATTGAACACAACAATTAGTATTTGAACTATCACATAATCCATAGTTTTAAGTTTTTAAAATCGGCCTGGTTGTACCAAAGCACTGGCAGCCCTTCCCAAATAAATCTTCTCGAATAAATGTTCACCCCTTTAACCGGCTGTGCCCATTGATTTTGAATTAACCGAGGCAGGTCCAAATCTATCGAAACCAACATGTTCTCGACATATTTGCATCGGTTAAACCAAAATGAGTGGGCTAAACCCCTAAAAAGGGTGATCACTTATTTGAGAGTATTTATTTGATAAGGGCCACCAGAGCTCAAAACCAACATATATTTTTACAGGTTCGGATCTACCTCGATCCAAAGTCAATGGACCAAGCCACTTAATGGCATGAGCACGTATTTGAGAAGATTTATTTGGGGATGAGCATGCATTTGATAATATTTATCTGGGAAGGGCTACCAATTCTCTGATACATAATAGAAGATGCACTAGCCCAATCTTTAAAAGTACGGAATCGGTATAGGACTCGCAATGTTTCACCCCCTACTCTCAAGAGTCGACAGAGGTCCAGCCCTCGGAATCGGTATAGGACTCGCAATGTTTCACCCCCTACTCTCAAGAGTCGACAGAGGTCCAGCCTCGGCCGATTCTATCGAATAAAAACAAATTTTCCCCTCATCATATAGTATTGAATTCAATAAGTACTAGACGAGTTGTCTCGGTGAACATGGTAAGAAATTTGAGCGTGGTTATGTCTTTTATACAAGATAACTTGGTGGGAAATAATAAAACAATGTGGTTTCTATAAGTTGGAACTTTAAACAATCCAATTAAGGTACATCTTCAAAATTTATCATAACATGTAATTTTGGTGTAATTTTTTTTTAAAATCATTTAAAAATCTATTTTCATATCTGATTAGAATATTTTCAACTCCAAAAATAGCTAAAATCAAGTGGATCTATAAACATATGGAGCAATGATTTGATGCAACCGTTGTATAATAATATGATGTAACAACCTTAAAAACCATCTTATGGTCATTTGTTTGATCTAAATTTTGAAATATACACTCCTTTCATTATGATGAACAATCACAAAAAAATAAATAAAAAATTGAAAACACAATCTAGAAAGTATTTTTTAGCTCAATTAACATACGCTGTTCATTTTGGTGAGATGCTTAGATCTAGGCTTTAGAAGGATTTATTCATTTCCAATTTGTTTGGATGGCTTTATTATCATTAGATGAACAATGTTAAAAAATAAAAAGAATGACTTTGAGTTTATAAAGGCTAAGATATTGAAATTCACAAAATGAATGGTCAAGATTTGTTTTTGGAGGAGACTCATTTTGATCATATCTAAAGTTCAAATTGAACTTTTTTTTGAGGTGATTATTGAGATGAAGAGAGTATTATGCAAAATTTGAGGTCATACAAATACCACAAACATGGTTTTCTAGAAGTATCGTTGCATTATATTATGATACAACCGTTGCATTGGATCATTGCTCAAACATGCGAAAATATTGAAAATGGACGGCTTAGATAATGTGTTGCAATAAGGCACTATTTTTAAGACTCAAAATATTATTTTTTTCATATTCACACATCACGATGTCGAGATAATCAATTGGAGGATTTTTCAATATTAAAACATTTTTTTCCTATAGATCTATGAGATGCATCTTTATTTCTACATTTTAAGGTTGCAACCTTATATAGACTTTTTCCAATTCGATGAAATGAATTATTAGTGGTGCTGTATAAGTTGAATGATGAAAAATTATTGAAGCCAGTGGAGGACGTATGTTCATTTGTCACGGAACGAATGTATAATATATTGCTATTATTCATGGAGACATTAAATAGTCTGTTTTTCATGCAATTTGAAAATCCAACTAATTGCTTCATGTTATTAATTGCATCTCATTTAATTGCAACATGACTAATTTAATTGTAATATAATTGCATAATTTAACTTTTAGTCGCTCAATTTAGAAATACACAAAGTTTATTATTTTATTGTAACGGGGTAATTGTTCCCTATGTTTTTTTATGGAAACTATTTTTTAATCAATCGCTCTATTTTACTCAAATTTCAAAAAATATTCATTTGATAATGGTACAAGGCGTTGGCGGTAGTATTGCCAAGCCTCATAGTGAGGTATATGATTTCATTCTCACCAAAAGGATAAAGGTCAGGACTGGTATACTTATGCTCCATCGGGAGCAGAGTTTTCTTCTTCTCCGTCTGTCAAACAACCTACTTGGGAAGACTTTTTCAATATGAAATTTTGGTAACCACCTTAGAATCTCTAGATTATTATTTTAAAAATATATCTTAAAAATTGAGTTTTTTAAGAATTAGATTTCATCCTCTAAAATTTTGACGGTTTCTATTTAATATTGGGACATTATTTTATTCAAGTGCTAAGGGGGGTGCACTTAGAAATTTTTAAATTTATTATTATTAAAGTTAATCTATGTATTAAAGAGGTTATATCCCGAATATATTTTATTCTAAAACTAATCTTAGGTCTACCTGAGGGAGTAAATGCGTAGTGTAGTTCTAAGGAAATAGAATATCTTTTGGCTAAAAAAAATAATAAAAAAATGTGAATAATAGGTAAAATGTAAAGTAATTTGGAAAATAGCCCTGGATCATTACTTAACATGTCTAACCGGTCAAAACCAGATCTGATCGGTATGCTTTCGAACATCGATTTTTTCCGGTTTTCAACCAAACTAAAATTTTGCTTTTGACCTTACCGGCCAATGTCCAAGTTCTTTTTTTTTTTCTCAATTACTTGTAGCATATCACAACGATCTAAATTAAACCAATATATAAAACATGTGACTGTTAGTGGTGCATATATATAACCTGTTCAAACAATGCAAGTTCCTTTATAACGAAGCTTGGATCCAATATGCCCTTGCCGATAATGGAACTTTTAAATTATCTTGCATACTCTTGTCTAGAAAATTATTAGCAGGCATGCGTTTGCACACCCTCGTTGGTGGGATTCAAGAACCTAAAACATACTCAAAATTGCATTTCGTAAAAAAAAGGGAAAGTATATAATAATATCATTTACTTTTGATACAATGTGGTCACATTTAACATTGACTATTGGATATTAAGTGGTTGTATTTATTCCATTGATCAAATTCAAACACTTGAACTAAAAAAAAAATTCAAAACTTTACAACACGCCTACGATATCAATTTTCACATGAGTGATTGAAAGTAATTGTGACCCTTGTATCAAAGGGAAAGGGTCCGATAGCATAGCATACAATCCCATGTGCCTTATTCCTCCATTTTGGTGGAACAAGATAAGGAATGCAACCCGGCTACCTTAAAAAAAAAGGCGTTGTATTGCCATAACGAAAATAGAAAGAGAAAATAAAAAGGCATGTTATAACGTCACAAGATAAGGAATGCAACCCGGCTACCTTAAAAAAAAAAGGCGTTGTATTGCCATAACGAAAATAGAAAGAGAAAATAAAAAGGCATGTTATAACGTCCCGATAAATGTGGAAATAGCTCCACCTGTCTACGTCATGGCCAAGCCCTGTCTCTAGCAGCGTTGTTAGGCAACTACAATCTTTCTAGGGGCATCTAGTTGTAATCTTTCTAGGGCCATTATTGCAAACTTAACGATTCTCGGCCTAAGACTCGTTTGAGTTTAGCTGAAATTTTGAGAAACACCTAAAAAATATACGATGAGACCATTCACCCTTTTTTATTATTATTATTATTAATTTTTTTTTTTTTTTTTATTTTTAGCCTAGCCACACATAATCTTGATTTTAAGGCTGGACCCACCCTTTGTCACCCCTGGAAATTTTGCCTCGCCACACAATTGGTAGGTAGTTTACAGTGATCTTTGATGCCATTCCATATCGCTTCATGAGCTTTACGACTTACAATTCACCGCTTTCACCAAATATTTATCCTTGTCAACGACACATGAATAATTGTTGATCTAAGTTCACCCCAATAAGCCTAAATATATGGCCAGCAATTTTGGGTCAAAATAAATATATATATATGTAGAGGAATGATTTTATAGGACCCTCTCCCACTTATGTGTGTAAGATCTTGAAGGATCATCATTAAATTTGACACGAATTTTAAAAAAAGTTAAATATCACATTCATATGATAGCTTTTTTTAAAGATCCGTGCTAAATTTAATAATGATCATTTGGGGTCCTACACACATGGGTGGAGGAGGGTCCTATAAGATCGTTCTCTATATTTCTCTCACCTATACCTCTCTCTTACCATTAGTATCACAACCAACCCCTCTGTCATTCTCTGCCATTAGCCTCACGACCAGCACCCTCTCTAGCTCTCTATTGATGTGCATATTACAGTCTCTTACCTTCCTACTGTCTCTTTCTCTCAATAGGCCGAGTATGAAATGCCCATATAGTTGCCCTCCAAAATCTCTTTAGTTAAGGTGCATCTTCCATCCATTGACAAAAGAAGCGTTGCAACAATGTAGCCCCAATATCTAAAGGGTGCGGTTTCCATAAGGTTGCAACATCAAACAATCCGATTAAGATGCACCTTCAAATTTTATCATTATATATAATTTTGATGTAAAATATTATTAGTATTGTCTCAAATCTATTTTCATATCTAATTATAAAATTTTAAATTAAAAAAATGATTAAAATCAAGTAGATCTATAAATATATGAAAAGCTAAAAAATGAATAGTCTAGATAATGTATTGTAAGATGCACTATTTATGGGACTCAAAATCGTTTTTTTAGTCATAGTCACGGTCATACGTCTCGATATCGAGATGGTCAATTAGAGGGTTTTTTAACATTAAAACAACATTTTTCTAGATTTTTGAGGTGCTTCCGTAGTTAAACATTTTAAGGTTGCACCCTTATATAAGCTTTTTCCATATAATTCGACCGTTGCTATATCAATGGGCAAGGTTGTTCTTAAGTGAGAATGATATTGCTTTCTTTATTGTTTTATTTTTTCTTCTAATCCAAACGGGCAAGTAGATAAAATAGCGTTTTCTGTGGTAGAGAAATGGGATATGCGCCAAAGAACTAGAGTTTATATGGGTGTGATTTATATAAGGTGTCAATTTTAAATAATCAAATAAGGCCCATATCCAGTCCCAGCGGGAGATGAGATGCAATTGTAGCGCTGAAAACCCCTTGGATAGCCTGAAAATTTAATTATAATCACATAAAAATCTTTAAAATAGACCGTGTAAAGTATAAACAATGCTTTATAAGGTATATTATGTTTAAGACTTTAAACTTTTTTTTTTTTTGGTATTTATATGGCTCGAGATCGAGATGATTAATTAAAATGTTTCCTAGCATCCAAACAACCTTTATTGGCTGCGTTTTTAAGAACGCCAATTTTTATAATGTCTTAATATATTTCATGAACTTCTTCCCTCTTTTTCTCATTTAAAATAGGCCAATTAAACATGGCTATTTCTGTGCAAATTTGCGTGTAACTTCGATCATGTGAAGGGTTTGTAGCCATTCAATTACCGTACATCACTGATTTAAGATTTTTTTACTTTATTTTATTTTATTTTATTTTTTATTTATTTTACAATAGCACATTTACTTCAATAATAACTCAAAAGTACTACAAATGTACATAAAAATATCTTCGGCAATCAACAAATCATCCAAATGAACTCCTTTATCTAAAAGACCGTCCTTTTCTCAAGTCTCAACTTCTTCAGCTTGTGGTTCACTCCAGTTGTTATCAGCGAATTTGCTACAAATCGGCAGGGTGATAAGTGGTTTTGGAAATGTATACAATAAAATTTGTAATTTTGTATATAATAAAGCACAATTATTACTGCCTGTTAGGTGTGAAATTGGGTTTTGTTTAAAAAAAAAAGTTTTAAAATATGTGACGCACTTTGAGATGTCAGATTCCACATAAGCTTGCTAAAGACAATTATGACTTCATTGTACAAAAAATATATGGTTTCATGGTATGCAATCTCAGTAGTTATCGGTGTTCCCTTTTGTTAGTAAGACAATCCAAATAACTTATTACAACATATATTTTAGGACTTTAATTTTTTCCCCTTTTATATCCATATATATCGAGGTCAAGATGATTAATTGTAAGACATACTAACTTTGGAACACTATTTTTTATTGGATTTTTGAGGTGCAGCTTACTTTTATAATATGAGGTTGCAATCTTATATAAACTTTTGCCTTTTATTAATAACAGTGCGAGTTACATATGGCTACAACTTTATTCATAGAGGTAAAGTTGTGATATTCTATACCGTTTATTTTAGTTAAGCGGTATACCTTGAGATTTATTGTAAGACATTGTCATGTCTTTTAAGGCAGTATTAATGGTATATTTTTTATAAGACCTGAACTTTATGACAAAGTAAAGCCTCACCTCAAATCCTCACCAAAAAAGCACTTTGAGCATAAAAAATCCCTATGATGGTTCAAAAATGGTACAAATATTGCAGATCTATTAACACTTGAAAATGTACGACCTAAAATAGTGTATTATAACAATACATACTACTTTTGGGCTTAAAATCCTTATTTTTTTAAAATAAACATAGTGTCGAAGGTCAAGCTGATCGATTTGATGGTTTTTTATGCCAAAACTATAATTTTTTATAAGTTTTGAGGAGAGGCCTTGCTTTTTCCCATAAGACCTAGGCTTTTTTGTTAGCGTTTTAATGGAATTTATTTGGGGTAAATACCTTTCAATAGAACATGCGGAAATAAGATTGCTACCTTAATAAACTTTGAGTGAGGTTTATGTCATGTGTCAACCTTAAACAATCAATGTAAGACATATTTTCAAATTATAGCAAAAGATGCGGTCTTGGTGTTGAAACCCATAAATTTATTTCAAACCCTTAACTATAAATATCTAAAATTTAAAGGGTGTGGTTTCTATATAAGGTTGGAACCTTAAACAATCACGCACCTCTAGTTTTTATCATAACATGTAATTTTGGTTTAAAAAGTTATTAAGATTATCTGAAAATCTATTTCTATATCTGATTATAAAATTTTAAACTAAAAAAATCATTAAAACCAAGTAGATCTATAAATATATGAAAATTTTGAAAATGGACAATCTAAACAATGTATTGCAAGATGCACTATTTTTTAGACTCTATTTTTTTTTTTCATATTGATATATCTTGATGTCAAGATGAACATTTTTCAACATTAAAACAACATTTTTCGATGGATTTTTGAGGTGCATCTGTAATTATACATTTAAGGTTGCAACCGTATGTCAACTTTTTCCAAATTTAAAATATGATACAGATCAAGCAGAACTATAAGTACTAAAAACTATTGAAAATAGTTGGCATATATAATATATTACGAAATACACCATTTTTAAGACTTAAAATCAAAATTTTATTTCATACCTATACATTACATTCGAGGTCAAGATTTTCCAACTGCAAAACAACCTTTCCCAGGATTTTAAGGTGCACCGTATTTCTACAGCATGAGGTTGACACCTTATACAAACTATTTTCCATGAACTTTTACTTTTTTTGTTCTTTCATCGATGCTAGAACTTGGAAGCGCAAGCCAAAAGCTCTCCCTCATGGCGTAAGAGTCTGTTTCACCCTACCTGTGAAACCAAAATCAATAGGAGCGCATGGGAACTCCTGCCAAAGGCGTGCTACTGACAGGTCCTCCTGTGAGTACACAACAATAAATCCCATTTCTCCCTCTAAAATAGATCCCCATATGGGGCATATACTATTTTTTTTTTTTCTGATGTCATGGCGTTTTCTCTTACTTCAGGGGATTGGGAAGACAACTTTGGTTATGAGGGTCCTTGAGTCGCTCAGAGCTTCCAAACCCAATTTGAAAGTTCAGGGCTTCTACACTCGTAAGCACTTCTTCTTCCCTACTCATTTTATACTCCTTTTGTAATTCTTTCTCTCTGTTGAATGAAAACTAGAAATAATACGAGTTTTTCTTTCAAGTTCTTCATTAATTTTAATCATTGAAGGTTGATTGCCAGTACTGTAACTGTTATTCTAGGGTTAGTGGAACTTGCATTGATCATTAGGAAATGGCAGTGTTGAATAGCCTTTGGGATTTCGGTACTGCCTACTTTCATCTTGGAAGTTGTACATGTCACATGAGATTCTAGCAACATCTCAATGTTCTAAGATCTTCCTCCTAGTGACAAATGATGCTCTTAAGGACCCTAAGATTTGCGACTGTCTTTTGAGCTGATTCATGTTTCTATGGTTTAGAAGGAATGACACCATACTTTTTACTGCAAGTATTTATGACCTTTTCAACTAGGCTTCCAATAGGATACGGCCTTTTATAAAATAGGGGGCTAAGGATACTGGCCTGGTAAACAAAGTGGTGACTTTAAGCTGTTGTGATGCCATGGAGGACCATGGATAGGAGATTATCTAGTGTGTTCTTTCATGGCTTTGTCCCCATATCTACCACCAATAACCTCTAAATTATATGTTTATTATTGGAAAATTCAAAGTTCAGGAATTTTTTGCTTCAATGGAGATACTTCTTATTACAAAAGAAAAAGAAAACGAGAACTCCAAGCAGCCTTTAGACAGGGGCTCAATTCTTTAAATATCTTGTGCAGCCTTTACGATTTTCTGTTTATCCAACCATATACAACTTATTCGCCTAAGAATTGACAAACATTGCATCTTGTCAGTTGACAAGCGAAAATTCCTTTCTGTCATGGGCATGGACGCATTCTTAAGAATGGAAAGTGGAGGATGACCTCAGCTAAAGTTCCCATAACATTCCCTAAAAGAATGGAAACTTAGTCACTATATGCAATCTCTCATTAGCACATTGTATACTAGTGTAAAGCACACAAACCACATAGATAAGGGCACTTATTGAACATCTCACAGGCATGATCTACCACATGAATCTAAACGAGGTGATCTTGAATAATTGCTGCCAACAATAAGTTCAGCAGTTGTCTGACGCCTCCTTGTAGACTTGTTTGTCTTTTGACAATTACTTACACATGCAATAGATTATCAAAAATACCTCCTTTTCACTACCTTGAATTTAGCGGGGAGATCAAATCTATCCAATAGCTGCAACAAATCTTAGAGACTGCATGCTTGACTAGCATTTTTTTGTTCCTTGCTTCCTTAAGAAACATTCAGTTTAGCTGTTAATGGAGTAATGGCTTATTGGTCTACCACAAGCTCTCATACTGTTTTACCTCTCTCATTTATTCATCTCTCATATACATTGTGTGAAGGTCTTGAGTACTGTATAGCATTTGTTCTTTATTTTTTGCATATGCTTTCTTTTTTATTTTAGTGACAAATATATTATTTAAGGGCTTTCCAAACAAAAGTCAGGATATGGAAGTGTTTCTCAATACGATGTATAAGATTTATGTAGTGGCAATGTAAGCAAGATTTAAAGCGACTCGAGCTATTATTCTACCGTTAATCATATTTGGAGCATGAAAATAATCATGGTGCTTTTGCTAGATGGTAATTACCAACTATTAATGGCAAGTGGCAATCATATAGGTGAGATTAGACAAGGAACTGAAAGGGTGGGCTTTGAAGTGGTGACATTAGATGGCAGAAGGGAAAGTCTTGCGTCAACTTCTGTCAGGTAGTTTTTGCATTTGACTCATTTTCTTCAGTCATTTTTGGTTTTCAAGATGGCCTCATTTCATGAATGTTCTATTTCTGGCTTCTTACTTTATCTGGAGTTGATTTCTTTATATCAGGGGACTAAATCAGGCTATATAAAAAATTTGTTTGACCTTCATTTTTTATACATAAATGCATCATATTTTATGTTATTTGGTTTCTCTTGGGTAGGAAGCCCATGGGATATAGATTGAACACATGCAATGAAATGTGGCTTCATTATTTAATGAAGCAAGTAAAGACAGTCTTTCATGTTTTGATTAATTTATTTTTCTGCATTCTCTCTTGGTTTTCTGGTTTACCCTTCTCAAGTTTGGTTGAATATGGGGGATATTTCCTAGTCAAGGTTTCCTTTTAAGTCCTGAATGCTAAGGGGATGAAGTCTTAGAATTTAGTAGAAAACTGAATAAAAGCAAAATGGAACTCAACGAATTGACAAATGTTGTATTAGAAAAATTGCAAGCAAATAAATGAACTAATTGTGATGTATGCCCCTTTATTTTTCTGTTTCAATTTGCATTCATAATACAGTATTTTTTGCGATTCTTGGAAGAGGATATCATTTTATGAAGGGAAATTTGAAATATTCAACATTTTACCCATTTACAACAATTCCAAGTCATGATCATGTCCTTTGATGGGTATTTCGAAATTAAATGAAAAGATACGAGTAGGATGTTAATAGTTCATCTCTCATGGGCATTTGGATAAATTTCCCTTTAATGAACATGTTGCTCTTCCTACTTGTTTCCTGATCTCGTTTAGGGGTGTTTTAGATGATTATTGCTTTTTAACTGTACAAATTTGTTGGGTGTGACATCAATTTATCTTGTTGCTTTTTTCTCCAACTAAAATTCTAAAATCATTTTTCATAATGATAGTGCAGGGACTGCCAGGTGGCCTAGTGTTGGGAAGTACAAAGTTGATGTAGCATCATTTGAATTTTTAGCATTGCCTGAATTAGAGGTATTTTAGATCTCATACTTAGCATGGCCATCATAGTTAGAAGAACACAATATATAAAGCTTCTTTAGCTGATCTCAGACCTGCCAAAGTCTTATATCAGGTCAGAGAAGGCACTGAGCTGTTCATCATCGATGAAGTGGGTAGAATGGAGTTGTTTAGTTCTAGTTTCTTCCCTGCAGTGCTAGAAGTTCTCAAGACCAACATCCCAATTTTAGCCACCATACCTATTCCCAAGTTTGGTCGTGATATACCTGAAGGTATTTAAAATTTTCTTTCCTATCGCTTAATTCTTTGTGTAGACATCACTTTCTTTCTATCGTTCTTTTTACCATGACCAGTCGAGCAAGCCTCCCGATAAGCATGAGCCTATGTGATCTTAGAAATACAATAATTCAGTTTCCTGGGATAGCTTAACATGCTGCAAAAACTAATATGATTCTTAATGCTTCTAAAAATTAATATGATTCTTAATGCCTCTAGTTTGAGATCCTGATTAAGTTATGAGTAAACACCTTGCATTACTTTTTTTTAAATTTCGATGTTACCCTGTTATTTATGATTTGGCACATAATGACTATGAACTCATAGGCTTTGTGGGCATACAAATATCTTGTGGCCATGTAAGACAGATCTTATCTATGCTCTTGTTGAAAAGGCAAGAAGGATTATCTTTTGTTCCTTAGATTTTTTTCTGGTGCAAAGACACATGTTATCTTTATTGTGGGTGGGTTCCAAGGGTACATGCATATGGGTAATTAGTATTAAGACTGATTAAAAGAGGTACGGGCTTTGGATGCACTACGCATTTAGACCCACAAGTTGATTTTACGATCCCTTTGGACATCTTGGTCAACAAAGAGCAGCAAACATCTTATTGATGTATTCTTTGTGTCCACAATAAGTGTAACAAACTTCTCATAGATATATTACTTGGTGGGCAAGAATGTGGATGATGTTAATAAAATATAGAAAGTTGATGGAGAAGGTTAAAGTAGCCTACACTGACCAACTTTGCCCCTTAGTTGAACCACGCACAGTGACAAAATGCATCCTAAAGTCATGATATTTTATTTGGATTTGGATTCATGATTTCATCCTTTAATATACTGGCTCAAGCTCAACATTCAAAATTCTTGCGCGTGCAAAATTGTTCTTCCTTTGTTTCTTCCCACTGTTCCACTGGATGTCTATAATTCCATTTTGAACCATCTGTACCATATATTTTTGTGATTAAATTTGTTCGAAGTACTGATTCTTGTAATTATATTTGCTGTATGCTTATGTTAGCATAGATTTATTTACTCACAAGGCTTTTGATGTTATTGTATTTATCTTTTTTCTGGCCCCGTTAAGCATGCAGGTATTGTTATATTTCTTTTGCTATGTTAAAGTTCCCAGTCTTGTGATCTTGTTAACAATCTAGTTGGAATTTCCTCTCTAGTTGCAAGGTTGAGGAATCACCCAGGTGCAGAAGTGTACACACTTAATTCAAGCAATAGAGATAACATTAGAGAACAGATATCCACTCAGCTTCTGAACATGCTGAATATTCGTTAAGATGCTCACTTAACACAAAAGAAGAAAAAATAGAATTTCTATTGTTTATTGCTCTCATTTGGTACTATTTTATTTACGTTCTCATCGAAATATTTGGAGATACTGGTTGTACTGGCCATGAAGTTGAAATGTGTACTGGTGCTATCTATACTTTATGTAAATTTGTTTTTTTTTTTTTTGGAAGTTAACATAATTTGGGATTTTTTTTTTTGGGCGCGGCCGCAGAGGGGTTGGTGGGGTAGAGGAATCTCTGTCCTATATAATATTTAGGTGGCCTCCAGTTAAAACCCAATCTTTTTTGGCGATACCGAATTAAACCCTACTGTTTCCTATTTTCTCCGGATCCCCTATATGTTTTGTCAAAGTATGTTCACTAAAAAGGTGCAGTTTGTATAGAGCCGAGGTTCTAAACAATCAAGTTGGAGCCCACCTTCAAATAGTGTCAAGAAATGTGGTTTCAATACTGGAAATCTTTATGATAGCCTTTAAAACTATTTTCATATTTAATTATAAGATTTAAAGCTTCAAAAAGTGTAGATTTAGCGGATCTATGAAAACTTGAAAATTGACCGTCCAAATATGCATTAGAAAATGCACTATTTTGAACACATGAAATCAATTTTTTTCTCATGTCCATGCATCTTGATGTTGAGATGATCAATTTGAGGATATTTGAGCATCAAAACTTCTTCTAGTGAAACTTTTGAGGTAGGCTCTAATTTGATTGTTGAGAACCTCGGCTCTATATGAACTTTTCCCTTACTAAAATACCCGTTTCACAAATTATATTAGATAAATATTATGCTATTTAAAAGAGGAATCAAATATTTTTAGAGATGTGAAATTTTCATTAAAGAGTCACTTCATGGCATGTATATGCTCCTCTTCAACTTATTTGATAGGATGGTTAACAAAGGATTCGAACCCTTGATGGTTCTTTAAGTGGTACTACAATGGTAAGGAATATTTTTCCCTGTTGTATTCATGGTAAAAAATCTACTCGAAGAGACTCTTTTGATGTTGACAACCCCCTTCAATTGATCATTTTGACTTCGAGATGTTTGGACATAGAAAAGATGAGGATTTCAAGTCTTAAAAATGATGCATTTTGTATCATATTATCTAAACTGTCAATTTTCAAATTTTTCAAGGGTTTTTGAATATGTTTGATTTATACCATTTTTTTAGCTTTTGATTTTGTAATTAGGGGTGAAAATAGATTTTCAGGCCATTGTAAGATATTTTGAAAAATTGCATCTTTTACAATATTTAGAGGTGCATCTCTTATGACTGTTTTAAGGTTGAGACCATATACAAACCAAAACATTTTATGTATTTTAGATAGAATTGGTGAGGGGTATTTTGGTTCAAAAATATTTTGAAAAACTATATGGCGTTTGTTTAAAAAAGAACATGGTCAGGTTCTATTTGGCACACACATGGGTGCAGTTCAACCTGAAACAATAAGGTAAGAAGCATTTCCAAAGACAACAAGGTAAGAAGCATTTCCAAAGTTTGTTGGAAGATGCAGTTTCTGCACTAGATCTTAAATGGTTTAAAAATCTTTTCCACTTGTAATTATGAAACTTGAATCTTAAAAAATAGTGTAGATTTAACAGATCTACAAACACTTAAAAATCTGAAAAATAGATGATTTAAATAATGTGTTATAAGATGCAGTATTTTTAGGATTTGAAATCTATCTTTTATAGGTATACATCTAAAGGTTGAGATGATCAATTGAGGGTTTTTCAATGTTAGAATAACCTTTTCAAGTGTTTGAAATATGCCTAATTCTAGGGAGTTTGAATGACAATTAACTTTATTTGGAATATATTACTTTATCTAAAATTAATATATTCTGGACAATATGTTTTGTTACTTGTTTAGTATGTATCTTGTATTATGTATAATATTATTTAATTATTTAATTTTTGTGTGATTTCTAGCTATTTTTAGTGAATTATAGTTAAAAATGTCAATTTCAACATATTATTTTGAATAAAGTAAAAATGATTGCATACTATAAGACCATAGAACTATTCACTTTTAGTACAAGGAGGTCACCCTTAGTTATCACATGTGAAATCAGTAGTTTAAAATATTTTACATAGTCCGAAAAATTTCATTTTGTACCCCCAAACCAGCTAATTTCACTTCTAATAGTAAAAAATGATTATGGCTTCGTAAATGTTATTATATAAGGTGTCCAAAATAAAAACAAATATAAATGCTTTTAAGTTTGGACGTCGTTTATACAAGGTTGCAACCTTGAACAATCCAATTAAGGCGTACCTCCAAAATTTGTCATAACATATAATTTTGGTGTAAAACATTCGTAGGATTATCTAAAAATCTATTTTCATATCTAATTAAAAATTTTTAAATTCCAAAAATAGTTAAAATCAAGTAGATCTATGAACATATGAAACTCTTGAAAATGGATTGTCTATATAATGCATTGCAAGATGTACTATTTTTGGAGCTCAAAATCTTTTTTTTTTTGTTATATTCATACATCTTGATGTTGAGATGATCAATGAGATGGTTTTTCAATATTAAAACAAAATTTTCCAATGGATTTTTGAGATGTATCTTTTGTTCTACCTTTTAAGGTTGCAACCTCATATAAATTTTTTTCTTTAAGTTTTACAACTCTACGATGGACGCTGCTAAAAAAGCATATAATTCATTATTAGGAATAATTTTATTATAGTGTGCAGTGATGGACGCTGCTAAAAAAGCATATAATTCATTATTAGGAATAATTTTATTATAGTGTGCAGTGCCGGTAACTCCCCATCACCCGTGTCCAGCACCCATTGATGCCAATCTCCGACAAGTTGGATGGTGGCGATGGGACGTCAATCTCCAACAAGTTGGATGGTGGCGATGGGGAGTTACGAGGGCTGCCGGCATATAAACGTTTTCCTTTGTTATTTGATACCCAATATTGGCCATTGCTAACTTGAATTGAGTTAGAATTAGGTTGACATGAACATATGCAATAGGCAAGATGTTGGCCTTTACGCTATTTTGGCCAAAGCAACTGAACTGGATTTGGGATACTCAGATTTTTACTTTTTTTTTGACAATGTTATAAATAGTCATTCGGAAATTTTATGTTTTAGAAAGTATTTAGATTTTGCGACGTAGTTGACTAAACATTATTCCATTTTTAGATGGTCAGATCTGAGTTTTTCAGACCTCGAAATCCAATTTTCATTTGTTTGAAAATTGAAAATAATCACATGATAAGGTGCTGTGTTCACCAAAATCCAGTAGAAGTTTTATGGCTTTATGTAATAGCACGTACACATGCTATTGTTGGAGCATATTATTATCTTATCCCTCATGTGAAAAACTGGTAATAAGGATTTTTTGGATCTATTTTTTTAAAAAAATTTAGGTTCCAACTAAGAATCATACTATTATTATTTTCAAAAAATAAAATTTGATTTTGAGTTATTACACACTTATATTTGACTGTCAAAAAATAGGACCACCTAGTTTTTCGATTTAAGTGCTGACATTGATTTGATTAGAAAGCAAAAATCATATTTGTTGATCAAATCAATCCTTGAATGATTTTGGTCGATTGGAACATCGAATTTTAATTGGTTCAATTGATTGATTGAACCAGACAAAATCAACAGTTCAATGGCCTAGTTGATCCTGATGACCATGCTATGGATGCTCAGTCCATATATGCGATGTGTATTTGGATAAAAAGTTTGGGATATTTGAAAATATATTTTTTAAAAGGTGTTTAGAAAAAATATTATATTATCTTATATTTTTAACTTTTATATCTCATTAGACTTAATAATTGAAAATATTACTTGTAAGCAAAATGATTTCATCTTTTCTATCCTCCAACCTCTTAAACCATTTTGACCATGCATTGGTGACCTCAACAACTTATGAAATGACTCTATCTCTCTTTCTAAAACTCCATCTTTCTCTCAAATCATTATCATTCTCTCTCTAAAATCCAAACTCCATCTCTCACACTCACATTATCGTCTCTCTCTCCCTAAAATTCGAACTCCATCTCTCTCTCTCTAAAACCCAAACTCCATCTCTCTCACACACATAAGGTATGCTCGTGTTCGAGCTCAAGCTAAACCTCTTGGCTGGTAAACTCACCGAGAAACGAAGAGAGAGATATAGTTTAAGGGAGAGATGAAGTTTGAATAGGATGTTATTTTAGTACTTGTTTGGGTAAAAAATTTATAGTTAAAGAGATCCAAAGGGTTGTAAGATAGAAAATATAGAGACTTTCTGCTTACAAGTAATATTTTTAATTCTTGGGTCTCATAAGATATGGAAGTTAAAACTATGGAATAAGGAGATATTTTCCATGTTTTTAAGTGGAGATGACACATTTTTGGTATTTGGATAAAAGTTTGGGATTGAAAAAGTATTTATGTCTATAATTATTTTCCTCATTTCATGTAAAAAATTAAGAAATATGTATGATTGCCCTCACCCTATGAAATTGATTTCTAGCAAGATTTTTTTTGATACAGAGACGTCCACTCCATAAAATACAATTAATTCTACAAAAGCAGCCTCATGAATTAAAGAGACAAACTATCTCACATTTTACGCTTTAGAGATAAAATATCTTAAAATTTTAGAGAGAGAAACTATTTATAATTTTAGAGAAGGAAACTATCTAAAATTTTTAGAGAGCGAAATTATTTCAAAGTTTTCAAAAAGATAAACTATTTCAAATTTTATATTTTAGAGAGCGAAAATATCTTAAAATTTTAGATAGATAAGTATCGAAACAAATTTTAGAGAGATAAATTATCTCAAAATTTTTAGAGAAAACTATCTCAAATTTTAAGTTTTAAAGCGAGAAAATACTTGAAATTTTTTAGAGAGAGAAACTACCTCAAAATTTTTAGAGAGGGAAACTATCTCAAATTTCAAGTTTCATAAAGAGAAAGTACTTGAAAATTTTAGAGAGAAAAACTATCTCAAATTATAAATTTTATAGAGAGAAAGTACTTAAAATTGTTTGAGAGATCAATTATTTCAAAATTTAAGTTTTAGAGAGAGAAAATATTTGAACATTTTTTTAGAGAAACTATCTCAAATTTTAAGTTTTAGAGGGAAAGAAAGTATCGTAATATTCGAGAGAGAAATTATATCAAATTTTAAGTT